TATCTACTGTCTGACACTGAAAGAGTCAAAATGTGAAGGAATTTCTGCCACCATGACTTCACAAAGTACATTTTAAAAGTTGCTAAACTCTGCAAAAGAACACCTTGGGAGGATTCAAAGGCCCTGGTTATGGAATCCAGAAGGCCATCTTCCACCGCACTGATTCAGATGTGGATAAAAGAAAAACTGATGGATGAATGGAACAACGTTGACTGGTGGGGTCGTGCAGCATCAGCAGGAATGTAAACATTGCACCAACCCTTCACAGTGAAGACTGAAGTCAGCCTGAAGGCAAAGCTCTGGATTTTTCTGATCCATCTGAATCACAACTTAACCTACTAATATATCAGCTGAAATGAATTTCCTTCGCAGACTTCCAAAACAAGCTAGGACTATCGGCTGCTCCTTCACATTGGAGTAAAACCCTTAAGGTGGTCAGCTATCTGATCAGGGTGCCACACTCTGGAGATGTATAGGATCCCCCTGGAGGAGCTTGATGGTGTGTCTCATGAGAAGGATGTCTGGATAATTTGGTTTAACCTGTCTGCTGAGATCTAGATCCAAACAAGTGGTGGAAAACTGGATGGATCATGTCGTCCAAACACTAAGAAGAAATAGACATGATGAGACGGTGGAAGCCTCCCTGTGATGGTCTTTAGGCCACATTCCTTCGTGTCTCGTGTCTAACGACATTGTAAGTAGGGAGTGAAAATTTTCTAAAAGCTCAAAATTTACAAGCTGTGATGAGTTTTCTAACAGGAAGGCCAAGAAAGTTGATTTTTCAGTGGATACCTAGTTAGGATCCGAGGAACCCTTCTTGTTACAGCAATAGGGGTCCTTCGGGCGAGGACCCTGTTGTTCCTGCTTCCTTTCTTTCTTTCTTATTATTATTTCCCCGACCAACGCGAAACCCTTAATTTGACCCCCTAAACACACTCAAAAACTCACCAAAATTGGCACACACCTCCGAATCTGCGAAAAATTTGATAAAATGAAAAAAAACAAAACAAGAAAAGCTCTCTAGCGCCCCCTAGTTACACAAAAACACTAAAACGGCCCTAGCACCCAGTAGGAATGTCATACAGAGATCAAACCAACATCAAAACGTTCATCTCAATGAGACCCACAAATCTCGCTGACATATCTCAAACAGGAAGTCTGCAATTTGCCTTTCAAAGTAAAAAAAATGAGTGAAAACATCTTTTGGGAAAACATTATCTTGTCTGACACCGTAAATCGTATCAACTTGAAAATCACACAGGAGACAGAAGAGGCCTTGATGTACAAAAGTTCTGAAGGGATTTGGATTTCTGATGACATGACATCTTTTCATTAGGCCTTTGCATTTAGATTAGCGTTTACATTACAATGCCGGCTCACTGGCTAGCTAAATGGTTGCCCAGGTGACTTCTACAGGCTGACAGTAACATCCATGCCATTGCCAAGCAGCAATCATCTCACGACTTGTGTTGGATGTTATTACTTGAACGCCAAGCATTTGGTGATAAGACTCAAGCAATCTGTAGAAGTTTAGGACGTTTACATCAACAGGAAAGAGGCCCGTAGAAGGGTTTACAGTGCCGTTTCCACATTGGAGGTAGTTAAGGTAGCATCTGAAATTCCTCTTGGATGCAATCATTTGGAGGTTACTGGGTATGTCCAACTGGACCATGGGGCAAACTCAGAATTTGCTTGAGAAATCCCTTCAGATCTAGTAATGCCTCATTGGAGAGCTGGAGAATGTAACTATGGAGGACTGGACTACCCTGTTGGGCTTGATGTCACAAGGAACAGAACCCAGTTAAATGAATGAAGTTTGACCCTGACTCAAGACTCAAGGAATCTGTCAAAGTTTAAGAAGTTTATAATGACCAGATCAACATCCAGAAGGGTCTCCAATACTGTTTAGTCATTGGAGACAACATGGTTTGGGCATCTGACTGACAATTCCCAGTGGACACCTTCTTGTAGAGGTTTTTTGGGTACGTCCAACTTGGATTAGACCCTGGGACAAACCCAGAATTACCTCCTGGAGGATGTGACCATGGAAGATTCTGGGCTACCTTATTTAGCCAGGTGCTGTCAAGTCCAAAACTCAGTTAAGTGGGTGAAGTTTGGTCCTGACTTATGACTCAAGCAATCTGTAAAGTACACTGAATACAAAGAGATGCTCAGAAGGAGCACTACTGCTGCTGCACTCTTGGAGGAGCCACTTAAGGTGGATCATCTGTTTGACTGAAATGCCTTCAAGGCGCCTACATTTGGATTTTTTTTTCAGCATCTCCTGCCCTAGCAAGACCCTTTGATCCAGAACTTGCTGGAGAACACGTCAAGATCCCTACAGAAGAGGTAGACGATGAGGCAATGGAAAACAACACCTGGACTACCTTATTGAACCTGCTAGCACTACTGTCCTTAGTTAAAAAAAATTACTCACTACTCCTTAGAAATTATTTGACTCCAAAAACAAGATATGCCAAGTAAGTAATGTGACTATACCTCAAAAGGATCAGACAGATCCAAAATGAAACCAATAACTGTAAAAGAAAGTTGTGCAAAGACATAAAGACAGGTGTTGTCCCACAAAGTGACCAAAATCTATTACCATAAACTAGAAATCTCTCCAAAGATACTCATTTTGTGCTTTTAAATCTACTCACACATTTTCGTTTACACGTGAACATGCTTGAGAGTAGAACAGCCCCGGCACTGGGCACATTGTAAACGTCATTATTACTCATATTATTCACTACCAGGAAACAGAAACTACAAGGACTGCAAAGTCCTGCATGGAGATTTGCATGCAAAACAACAGTTCATGCATCTGCCTCGCCTTTTAGAAAAAAACAGTAGAGGATGCAGACGTCTATGAAGGCAGCTCAGCTTGTTCACCTGGCAGAGATCCAAAATGCTTTACAACAAACTTACGAAATTTAGCAAAATCTCGACAAACTCTTATAAAAAACAAACCGGTGGGGAGGAGGAGGGGGGTTCGTACATTCCTTCATCGACTGTTTCCCCGCCCGTCATGCTGTCTGCAGGGAAGCAGCGTTTGGATTGGTCAGTGTTGTGTTTATGTGCTTTTCACGTAAAAACACTCCTGAACGCTACAATCTGCTCACACTTTGTTGGCCCTGCATGCACAGCGGATGCTAAAGATGCTACAGTTGGCATTTTATGACATGAAACTAAAGATGAGATGAAATCTTTCTATGACTCCAACAATAGATTTTTTTTACATTTTTGCCAGATGAGACTAAATGAAGCTTCATAAGATTGTTTTTATCCCACATAAGGGGTGGTTTGCTAGGCTGAATATTATTGATATTGTTGAGTACTGTGGCACTTGACCCTGGAACTTTAAAAAAAACCTACTCCTGCAGACAAGGTGTATCGTTTCGGTTCAACAACATGTAGCTGCAGAAAAAATCCTCTGATTAGGCAGGAACTGCAGGAAACTTTCGTTATTTCTCTTGACATTCAGAATCTGCAATATTGGACAAGTGTAAATAATCAAATGATCTGATCATGGGTGAGCTGAAGTTTGAAAGAAAAAAAAAATATATATATATATATATATGTGAAAATTTCACTCTTTGACTTCTGCATTATCAGTTGTTTTGTTAAAGATGGTATTTTAACTTACCCACAGTCAGATCATTTGATCTACTCGTACAATATTACAGATGACACGAATGACGTGATGAGAAATAACTGAAAATTTCAGGCTTTTCTCTTTAATAGTTCCTGAGATATTGTTGTTGAAACAGCCTCAAATTTGAATGTGCAACCTGCTGAAAAGCATGTTGATGGGCAATTTAAAAAGAAAAACAAGTTATCTTGTAAAATGTCTGATATACCTAGAATTTAACACATATCTTAATAAATATGTGAGATAAGATGTTCAAGCAAAAATAGTTCTAAAAGTTTATGATCTGAGATGGAATGACCCCGTTGTAAACACGACCACAAAGGCCACGCTTCATAGCCAAAGTCTAGCAACAAAACAAGCTGTTTAAGGTTCATAGTCTCAGAATTAGAACTTGGACATTTAAGTGAACAATACTTACAAGTTAGAAATGAAGCTCCAAGTCCCACAGGTCTTGAATTCAGCTATAAGATATTGATCCCGAGGCTAACTCTTGTCTTTACCTTCCTGACACAAATCGTTTTCTGCCTTGAGAGCCTCCTAACTGGCACTCCCCTAATCAGCAGCTTCCCCTGCTTCTTTGTTTGCTTTTTTAAAGATAATGGCAGGAGATGAAACGTCCTCATTAGTGCCACACGGACTTTTGTTGGTCCAACCTGTTAAATTGCTCTCACTGTAGAGTTTCAACAAACACGGCTCCAAAATTTTGGTCCCATTACAAAAACCTGCCCGAACCCACAAGCTTAAATTCATTTCCCTACACCGGATGTACGACGATCAGCCAGAGCGGACCCAAACAGGCTCTAGGTTAATTAGACCGGAGACAAAACACAGTCAGCCTGAACTGAGAGAACACTCACAGCAGTGTGATGCACTATCAGTTAATTTGATCACTTAACAAGCATGTGCTTATTCGCTTAAAAGACAAATTTATACAGAAAATTTATATTCCAGTTTTCATCTCCTGCACCAAAGCCAAAAGTCAGGATGAATAAAAGCTTTGGTCAGTGATTTGCAGGACAGAGAAACAAACCGCTGATCTGTGAACACCTTCATTTTACATTTAAAGTTAAAATCTGTATTTGTTTCAGAGATGATGCCATGAAAACGACACCCATTTGGACCAACTAGAATTTAGACCCGGGTTCTTGGTGCCCCAGAACCAAGCGGGACCTGTGAAGACCTCCACTGTGGTGGCTGACAGGCTTCTGGTTTCCTCTCTTTAGGCAGTAAGGTCTAATGTGATTCACCTTCTCGTGATAAAATACCACATGCAGTACCTTTAACATCCGCTTTCACAAAGAACAAAAGACAGTAAACATGTTTGTGAGTCCAGGAGAGGCGGTGCTGCTCAGGGGCCAAACGGCCTGGAAGACTGGTACTCGCTGGGCACTTTGGGCTTGATGCCCTTGCTGTTGTAGTAGTCAACCACCTGGTTGGGCACTTCTGCTAGGACACTCTTAGCCAGAGCAGCCGGAGAGGCCTGAGGAGGAGAAACACAGGAAACATCAGTCATGTGGTACTTTTTGGAGGTAAATGTACTTTCTTGGGTCTCCTACAAGAAGCAGTTCAAGGGACCTGTTCCCACTGCTGTGGAGCCACGGACACTCCAGTCTCTCCACAGTACATTTCAGACATTCCCCTTTTCCACCAAAAAGAACCAGGTGCCAGTTCTGGGCTGGTGCTTAGTTGGTTCAAATCTGGCACCTCCAAAGAACCAGTTGCTTTTCCATCAGCAATGAGCCAAGCTGGGGCCATTGCGTCATTGCATACGTAGCCGTTTAACGAACAACGCTCGTGCCACATGGATGTCCATACAGGACTCCAGACTTGGTGGCTGCGGTGCTCAGACCAGTGTGCGACCAACAATGACTTTAAAAAGAGTGAACAAGGGCGTCCTCATGTCAGATTTATCCAAGATGACGTTGAGTGATTTTTTCTCATGCAGTCTTTTCTATGAGCGGATTAAACAGCGCGTGTCGGTGAGCTCCAACCGTGTTTCTAAGCATAAATACCGCAGTACACCAAAGTTATAACAGTTCTGTTTTCCAACACTGTGGTGCTGCTGGTGGGACTCAGCTGTACCGGATTTCAGGGCCCAACAGTTTGTGCAGAACTTCCATGTGTCCCTGGACTCACTCCAATACATCTGTGATCAGACCAGAGACGTCCTGGGGAAAAAACGACACAAATCACCGCTTGTGTGTCCCGTTCATCGGTCTTGGTGGTCACGATAAACCCGCCCCCAGCCCCCCTGACGTACTCGGTGCTTTTCTCTGGCCCAGCAAAGAGCTGGCGCCTGACAAGCACCAGTTTTGAGAGCCTGGCCAGGCTTTGGCGGTGGAAACACAAAGAACTGGTGCTAAGTCAGGCCTCGGCTCCAAACCAGCTCAGTGGAAAAGGACAGTGTCCTACTGGAACTTTACAAGGTTCCCGACCAACTACAGAACATGTTTTAATGCATTGCAGAGCTGTTCAGATGTAAAAGATACACACTGGCTTGAGTTTAATAACTTCAATGTACTTTTTCCATTTTCAGGAAAACGGTTTCCAAGTGAGACTCTTTTTAATCATATTTTTTAGACATTTTTCTTGTAATTTTATTCATTTTTATAAGGGATTTTTTTCCTGGTATTTTATACATATTTACAGGACATTTTTTATGTATTTTATTAACACTAATAGGGGATTTTTCATTCATTAGATCAATATTTTTGGGATATTTTTCAGACATTTTATTAATAATCATAGAGGATTTTTTTTAGCTACTTCTATAGGAGATTTTTCAGTCATTAAATTAACAGTTTTTGGACATTATTCAGGTATTTTAATAATAATTTTAGGACATTTCATATTTTAGTATTATTATTATTTTTTTTTTTACACATTTAATAACAAGGTTAACTTTAGAGCCTTTCAGAGCAGCTTGGGTGCAGAAATACACACCTCAGATTGACTTTAATAACTCAAAGTGTGCATAATCAAGGGAAACGGCATCAGATTAGGGCACTAAATTAGACACTAATTATTAAATAATTTGAGGGCAAGAAACTTTTAGTTTTAGGTTCAAAAAATGAAGCTTATCTCTTAAATGCAGTTGAGGAGGCGTCACCATAAACAGAGCGTGGATCCATCCCAGCAATCAGGGTTTATTGTGTAGCTGATTGTTGGTGTGATAAAAATAGTCCTTGCTGCTGCTGCTGCTGCTGCTCTGCTGTATGTTCAGTGTGTTTCTGGTTTTCACTGAGCTGTTCGTCAGCTTAACGCTGCATCGCTGTTTAGCATCAACACCAACAACGTCTCTTTGTATGCGTCATGTGGTCAGTGTAGGTGTTCAAACTCAGCAGGGTGTCCAGCGTTTGCCCCGACTGAGACGCCTCTTAGTTTAGTTCTTTGTTTTTATTTTAAAGAGGAAGAACAAACAACGTGTGATTTAACTGAGGAGATATAAAGATCGAATTGTTCACCTCATTTGAAAAATCCACCCTGTTCAATTTAATTGATTAGTTGCCAATTATTTTGACGATCGAACAATCGCGTGGAGTAATTTAGGGAAAACAGTCTGAACGCTGTGATTCTTTAATGTGAATGTTTTCTGGTTTCTTTCCGCCTCTATGACAGAAAACTGAACCTCATTGGACAGAAGAAGACATTTCAGGATGTCATTTGGACTTTAGGAAAACCTTTTGACTTTTTTTTTTCCACCTTTTTCTTTTATTTATCGCCAAACAAGCAACTACTATTTAAATATATATATATATATATATATATATATACACATCAACAATAAAAATAATAATTAGTTGCAGCCCGTTTCCTAGCAGCAGTATTTAACCCCGGTCTGTATATTTTTCTGTGGATCCAGTTCAGCAATTCTTGAGAAAAAGCCTCTGGAGCACTGCTTAAGTCTAACTTTTTATATTTCTATATGATAGTGTTCACACTCCTACGAAGCTGTGCGAGGGTCACTGCGAGAATCTATCGATTTGTGTTCCCTCGCAAAAAGTTTTCCATTCCTTCTGATCCATACGAACAGTTGGTGTGTTGGTCCAGTTCCGCTCTGATCAGATCATTTTAAAGGTTGATCATGGACAGAATCCAGCTGCTGGCTGCTGTGGCTGCAGTGGACACCATAGTTTTTAATGGTTGCAGCTCTGACCACATGCAGCAGCAGCAGTTTGTGTGCAGTGATGGTTTTTCTGTGTTCCTCAACTCCTAAATAAACAAATGCATCTGTTAGAAATGCACCACAGGCCCAAATAGTAACAGCTGGACGTTCACTGCACCACAGACTGAACAGTGACCGTATGTCCAACTACAGCTTTACCTTCACAGCAGGCAGAGCAGCTGGATTTGGTCAGTGATCAAACTTTGAACATGAATAATGAGCAATAAATGCATCAGTGTCACATCACCAACTGCCTTCAGTATCTGCAGAGTGTTAGAACTGGACTACTCAAAAGTATGGCATGGTGTTACGATGGCATGCAAACATGTCATGAGGAGATGCAAAAGTATTGCAAGGTCACCCAAAACTTACTGTAAAGGAACTTAAAAATATGTAATAGTTATGCAAAACCTTTTAGGAGGGAACGACGCAAAATTATTGTGAGCTGACACAAAAATATGACTCAAGCATAACGAGGAGATTCCAAAGTATCACAAACACATCGCAGAGCATCCCGAAGACATCCAATAGTACTGTGAGTCTATGCAAAACTTATTGTAAGTATCACAACGGGATGCACACATACAGTGAGGGGGCGCAGAAATATAGGTGATGATCAAAAAAATTATGCAAAGCTATTATTACAGAAACGCAAACATATTGCATGGTGACAAAAGCATCACGAGGTGCTACAAACATATTACTAACTAAGAAAGGTATNTTTATTTTAAAGAGGAAGAACAAACAACGTGTGATTTAACTGAGGAGATATAAAGATCGAATCGTTCACCTCATTTGAAAAATCCACCCTGTTCAGTTTAATTGATTAGTTGCCAACTAGTTTGATAATCGAACAATCGCGTAGAGTAATTTAGGAAAAACAGTCTGAAGGTTCTTTAATGTGAATATTTTCTGGTTTCTTTCCGCCTCTATGACAGAAAACTGAACCTCACTGGACAGAAGAAGACATTTCAGGATGTCATTTGGACTTTTTTGGACCTTTTTACTTTTTTTTCCCCACCTTTTTCTGATATTTTATCGTCAAACAAGCAACTACTATTTAAATATATATATATATATACACACATCAACAATAAAAATAATAATTAGTTGCAGCCCTTTTCCTCGCGGCAGTATTTAACCCCAGTCTGTACATTTTTCTGTGGATCCAGTTCAGCAATTCTTGAGAAAAAGCCTCTGGAGCTCTGCTTAAGTCTAACTTTTTATATTTCTATATGATAGTGTTCACACTCCTACGAAGCTGTGCGAGGGTCACTGCGAGAATCTATCGATTTGTGTTCCCTCGCAAAAAGTTTTCCATTCCTTCTGATCCATACGAACAGTTGGTGTGTTGGTCCAGTTCCGCTCTGATCAGATCATTTTAAAGGTTGATCATGGACAGAATCCAGCTGCTGGCTGCTGTGGCTGCAGTGGACACCATAGTTTTTAATGGTTGCAGCTCTGACCACATGCAGCAGCAGCAGTTTGTGTGCAGTGATGGTTTTTCTGTGTTCCTCAACTCCTAAATAAACAAATGCATCTGTTAGAAATGCACCACAGGCCCAAATAGTAACAGCTGGACGTTCACTGCACCACAGACTGAACAGTGACCGTATGTCCAACTACAGCTTTACCTTCACAGCAGGCAGAGCAGCTGGATTTGGTCAGTGATCAAACTTTGAACATGAATAATGAGCAATAAATGCATCAGTGTCACATCACCAACTGCCTTCAGTATCTGCAGAGTGTTAGAACTGGACTACTCAAAAGTATGGCATGGTGTTACGATGGCATGCAAACATGTCATGAGGAGATGCAAAAGTATTGCAAGGTCACCCAAAACTTACTGTAAAGGAACTTAAAAATATGTAATAGTTATGCAAAACCTTTTAGGAGGGAACGACGCAAAATTATTGTGAGCTGACACAAAAATATGACTCAAGCATAACGAGGAGATTCCAAAGTATCACAAACACATCGCAGAGCATCCCGAAGACATCCAATAGTACTGTGAGTCTATGCAAAACTTATTGTAAGTATCACAACGGGATGCACACATACAGTGAGGGGGCGCAGAAATATAGGTGATGATCAAAAAAATTATGCAAAGCTATTATTACAGAAACGCAAACATATTGCAGGGTGACAAAAAGCATCACGAGGTGCTACAAACATATTACTAACTAAGAAAGGTATGGCGAGGTGATTCATAAGTAACATGTGGGAATGCAAAAGTATTGCAACAGTCAAAAACATTATGAGGTATCATGGATGGACGGATGGACAGATGGATAGATGGACAGATGGACAGATGG